TGATTTACATAAAAGACATGTTGACTTTAATATTGAGGATTATGTCACGATCTGAATTCGATCAGACCGGTGCCTACATGGACCCGCCTCTAAATTGCAAGCTCGTAGTGCTGGTCATTTTAAAATTTTAAAGCATGTTAGTCCAAATGCACATGTCATTGATCTTTTATCACATTTTGGCTACCACTCCACTTTAAATATTGAGGACTTCTTTAATTACAAACATCGTTTCAATTCATTTGATGATCCTTTTATATTTAGCTACGTGGATTCCCAACCTGCCTATGTTGATATTTCTACTTCCATACCAACTGTCACAATACACAAAGATACAATTGGTGTTATTTTAGATGAACAGATTGTGTTGACCAATGATGGAGAGATTCAGTGCTTCCTTACTTGTTGGGTAGTTCCACTTGTTTCAGACCGTACATGGAGTCCTATTGAGAAGCTCCAACAAATCTGGATTACACTATTGGAGTTTCGATATTTGGTTTTTACGAAAGATCATCCCCCTGTGGTAGAAGTTTATCTACTCGACGGGGTCGAGTTTTCTTCCACCCCGAGAGAGTTGACGCGGACATCAATTATCGAGATTTAGTTTTTTATTGTTATTGGACCTTATTAGTTATGTTATTTATTATTGTGCTTGTAATAGTGGGTTAACCAAAGCATGTCATTTGGTTAGGTTTTTGCTATTTATTGAATTTTTCATTGTTGATTGAATCAGACGATGAATGAATAAAAATGAATTGAGTTTTTGGCTTACAGTCACGTTTCCTCTCTTCCCATCTTCTCACCTGATTTCTCCTCTGACATCTTCCCCCATTCTCTCCGGTTTCTCCCCCACTTTCTTGCTGTTTTCTTCTCGTATCCTGCATCATAATCCCTCCGTTTCATAAAGATAGACTTGATTTCTTTTTTTGTGTGTTCCAAATCATAGGCCATTTTTCTTATTGAAAATATAGATGGCCTTTTAGATTTCTTATGTCTTTATTTAATATACCTTGTTATCAACAAATATGAATTACTATTATTTAAATCATTATTTAATTTAAGGGTATATTAGGAAAGATATAAGAAAAAATTATATTTTCATTTACATTAATTCTATCTTCCTAATTTGTGTGAAAATAGAAACAATCTTATCTTTGTGAACAAAGAATACCAATGAAATTGTATCACTCTCGTGTCATTGGTGAGGAGTTAGAATACCAATGAAATTGTATCACTCTAGTGACATTGGTACTACATAATATTATTCTTCAGTATAATTACGGTGGAGGATAATGATTGAATAGAAACTCATGAATATTTGAAAGTGAAAAAAATATTTAAATATCAGTCATCATCTTCTAGTAATGGAGCAACTATTTCAAAAAATATAAGACACTGAAAAAATATCACACTTTCTAAAAATTGGCCCCCTTAACCCGATATTTGTGCACTGCTACAAAGTTTACTTATGGTCTTCCCGTTTTCTTCTCTAACCCTCTCCACCTCTCACCATAATACTTACATCGAATACATTGTGGCTGAAATTTCATTTTTCGTTCCAAGATTTTCCGAGACCTGTCCCCCGGTTCTCTCTCTGCAACTCGTTGTCACCGCCAGTACTAGACGTTGCTGAGGAAAAAAGGGTGTTCTTCTATCATCCCTTTTGGCTTTTGTATGCAAATCAAGAAAACAAATAAAGGCAACATTTAAGTGAGAAACGAAAATGAAGGTGATGATCATATCTTCTGCCGTTTTGGCGGCTGTTTTAGCTATGATAATCTCCTCCTCCACCATTGCTGGTGCAGACACGGTCGGACATCTTGCTCCAGCTTCTCCTCCCACCAGTGATGGTATGATGTTCTTTCCTATCTTCTATTTTCATGTTTTTGGGTTGCATAAAGGTCTTTAAAATATTTGGTTTACACGCATTGGACTGTCTTATTCGAGAGTATCATAATGTTGGGAAAAACTACTACAAATAACCTGACCTCTATAATCAAAAGCCAACCA